GCTTTGTTTATAGGCAGGCCCAAACTATGGACCTTAGGACCTATAGAAGAATTTTCATTTAATTGATAGCACTTTTCTTAGTATATGCAAAATAGGGTGATCGTCTGGGCAACTTGTAGGTTGAGGTAACCTAGAAAACTATTAGTAAAATTGTCAATTCCTTCCTCACGAGGCCCAGAGCTCCGATTACTATTGATAGAGTATCAGTCTTCATTTCCCATATCCTGTTAATCTCGATTTCCAGGTCCTTGTATTTAGACAATTTCTCGATCATTTTCATGGAGGTCTTTCTCTCAGATTGAACTGTTAGGTCAATAAACATACACTTGCTGATTTTCTTGTCATTTATAATAACAGGTCTGTTGGCTGTTATTACCATGTCAGTTTGAATTGTTATGTCCCATAGGATAGTTAAGTCGTTATTATTATTATTATTATTATTATTTAAAAAATATTTTTGACCTGCATTTGTTTTATAATATATAATCACATTCTGGGTCTTATGCAATGACCTAGGGCAAATAAATAATGTGATTTTTTTTTTTACTTCCACTCAATTAAAATAAAAACAACTATTACAATAAGACATAAATGGACAATTATCTTTTCAGGATATCGACTGTGCTTGTTACAAATCATTTCCTTTCAATTTCCTGGTGCATCACGGAATTTGTTCTTGATCGCCTTCCTTTATCAGATCCAAAGCTCAAAATATGGAACATTTTTATTTTTTAAGTAATGGGATTTTTCTTTTATATTTATTTCCACCTCCAGGTCTTTGTATTTGCTTAGTTTTCAGAATCCTTCGCAGATATGTTTATGCCACTTGGTACACTCTTTTTAATCAGTGTACAAGCTTTTTTTTTCTTTTCTGACGGTGATAATAATGCCTGATGAATGTGATTGTATTGTTCGATTTGTGTTTACAGAAAAATCCCGGAACATGATAACATAGTCTCCCTAAAGGTACAGATTCAGGATTATGATTACTCCAGTTTGAAGCTGTTCCGAAGATATTGTTGTCGTTGATGTTGCTGTTATTATTATTATTATTATTATTATTATTAATATTATTATTATTATTATTGAAAGAGAGTGCCTCGCACCGAAAATGTGAGTCAAGCTTACAAATATTCGGATCCCAATATACCAATATATAAAAATTAATTGACGGATATATTCACTCGGTTTAGTCTTATGAGACTTGTCAGTCTCATAAGACTAAACCGAGTGAATGTATCCGTCAATTAATTTTAATCAAGAAAGGCGATGATGCCAGCAGGATGCAAGTTGGTTCCAGGGGATGAAAGTGAACGAGAAGACTTTATTTTGGAGAAGTGAGGAAAAATAAATAAAGGAACAGGATTCTGTAAGACAGAATATGTAGACTGACGTCACATTTATTTATTTTTTTTTTAAGATTGCATGTAACAAGGAAGCAATCGGAAGGCAGGTACTCGGGCGAGTAGTGCGAGAAAAGAACCTGTTAGAATAGAGCAGAGGGCCGCATGTAATTAGTTCAATAGACAAACGCTGCGTGTTAGTTGCCAATCTAATCGCATGCTTAAATTCATGCAATCAAAGTACTAAGAAGAACAGCTCAGCATAAGAATCGTCATGAAAAAGGTTTATAGAAAAATTGAGGGAAGCCATGTCACGTCGGTAAGAAAGTGACTGTATTCGAGATGCCAGGAGTGATTGCAATACAGACAGTTCTTTGAATTTTTGTACGAGCACCTGACCAGATATACTAGCAGTATTTAATGCACAGACGAATGGTAGTTCTATAAATGTGCAAGATGGATTCTCACGAGAAGCATTATCTGGCAGGATACAGCAAGCTATCATTCCTAGCAGTAGACATGTCTTCAATATAATCATTCCAGTATTTATTCAATATAATATCTGCACTTCCTATCAGTGGAAAACATGAGTACAAGAAGGAGAAAAGTGTCCCTCTCCTGAAGTTGGCAGACAGAAAACATTTTTGATAACATCGCCGCATAACGACTTACTAATATCTCCATTCCAGAAAAACTTGTCCGCTCACGAGATCTCAGGTTTAGGGTAAATGCAAGTATATAGATTTGACTCCCAAGTCACCTTGGCCACTTCATCTCTCATACATAAAAAGAACCCATTCGATCCCTGGCTATAATACTCCCTTATTACTACCGCTCTTAAAAAGTGACGCGCATCATGTCGGCCCCTAAGGGACATACTTAACTGGTTAATGTTTGACAACAGAAAAGATAATCGGTGATACTGAACCTGATATATACTGTTATATCTTATTTCATCAAGACAAAATATGTTTTTATATGCTAACATGTTTAATCAGTTAAGAAGACATCAGAGGCATGCCTGGTCTAACATAAAAGCATTATAATTTTAATTATTATTATTATTATTATTATTATTATTACAACACTTCTAAATGAGTACGAATTTTAGAAAAAGTGTTTACAAATTTTCAACAATCTTTTGACAGGATATTCAACGAACATGACTACGTGGAAAAATGCATGCTTTAAAAAAATTGCCGTTGTAATTTGTGCGACAAGTAAAACAAAAAAAATAGTATAAAAGTCACGTCGAAAAAGAAAGCTTTAAGCTATACTTTTCGAAGTATGCTTACTTGTAAAATGTGTTCCAATAACTTTTACCGATTTTTAAAGTGAACTAAGTTTATGCGTATAATGATTTTTGTTTCTTTTTCTTTCAGATTTAGCGGATATTTTGGCGATATTACTTTTCACACATAATTGTCATGACTTAAATAGCATGATCCAATAGAAGAATAAATAAATTTTAACCAATAACACTGATTTATTTACTGCTGACTTTGATCCGTCTTAATGAAACACCCTTATATATAATCCGTCTTAATGAATCAACCTTTATATGCCTGTAGCCAGTAGCCAATAATATTATTGAAATTTCAATGGGATGGTACCTATGGTGGCAATTCCTAACGTTAGTATGTTAAGATATTTCTAATACATTTTAGTCGTTAATCTCTACCGTTCGGCTAAAATAGTTGCTGATTTTTTCTATTTGATTTCTTCTTATAATGTAGGCAAGAGACAGGGATCATTGATCATTTGGTATTTATTTTCAGTTTTGTTGAGTACGACTATATATCTTGTTTTCAATAATTCGATCAGTTTGAATGTTATAGTTTAAGATTATGTCAACTTAATAATCAATAATAAAAATTTTTAAAAACGATAAAGAAGATTACTAGAAGTAAACTTATATTTTAAAATAAAATTGTATTCTTTTAATGTAATTTCTATGAATATTATTCTAATCGACTATTTCATAGAAAATCCCCAAAATTAAAAAAAAAATTAAATCAGTAACAAACATCAAATTAAATTCTTTGAAGACAGTTTAGACATTCAAATTTATATCAAACATTATAATCTTTATGAACCCCCAAAATAACACTTTCAAAGTAAAACAAAATGACAGCAACTTTTTCTAGCCATTTTTTTTTTGAAAGAAAATTAGTGACACCTTCTCTCATGACGTCCTTCTCTCTTTTTCTTTTTATGTTTTTTTTTTTCTTCTATCCCTTCGATATCAATATATAACTTCCGTTAAGTTAACCGTTTAAATGTGTCAATGTCCGGACCTCAAGTAATTTTAAGTATGAAAGAATAGAAATTTTAAATTACATCTAACTCACTCATGTCTTCTCTCCCCCCTTCCCTTCCTTACTTTGTCAATTTACATATGCTTAATACGGCCCGTCAGAAATGTGTAAATTTCTTTTCATTTTTTGTTTCAACCTTTGGAATTAAAGTCTGATGATCCGCAGCCCTTTAAAAGGGCTGTGGTGAAATAATTTATTACATGGAACCTTAAAGTGGTCTGCTTTTATTTAATACATACATATATATATATATATATATATATATATATATATATATATATATATATATATATATTTCTGCACATGAGCCAATAAAAGTTAACACAAATACGGTCATTTAGTTTTTTGTACTCTTTTTGTGAAAGCATTTTTGTTGTTTCTCTCGACAAAGCCTAAACATTGGGTCATCAGTAGTGTGTTACAGATTGCTGGCTATGGCTTCCTTACAAAAGGTTTGTTCCTGTGTATCCAGGATTATACTTTCTATCCCTCTTCTTAGGTCAATGAGCTCCAACCATTTGTGGGGGGAATCCATCGTTCTTCAATCTTTCCATTGCACTTCCAACTGAACATGCAACTGCATGTCCAGTAGTTCGTCACGTTTCTCCCACGACTTTCTGACTTGAATTCTTTCTTTCATTTGAATTCACTTCCAAAAATATTTATATACACTACTGCTTATTGTAGCAGTTCTGACCAAGTAGCGGGCCAGTGACCTTCGTTCACCTCAGGTTGCCAAACGTATCAGCCCTCACCCTCCATCAGGTCTCTTGTTGTAAATTCTGATAGGGTTAGACCATACACTATGCATGGTAGATATCTTACAGTTCCTCCTAATAATTTCGGCATCTTCGAGTTGTGTCTAGTTCAAAATTGCAGTACAATTTCCTACTATATATGTTTTGTTTACTGTAATTAGATTTTGAGTAAAGTGTTGATTAGTGAATTCTTTGAGACACTTGGAATATTTATTTCTCAACTCTGTCTTTCATGACATTATGTAAAAAATCGAAAATTCTGAGGTAATTCTATTCCCTTTCTGTGGTAGGATCCACCTAATTTGCATAGTGGAGTACCGACCATATAAATATGGTTGGTACCGGGAAGACGAGGGAAGGAATCAAGAGATTCAATCCAGAGACTCTGCCCAACTGCGTCTAAGTCAACCCATTTCTCCAGGAACGGTCTTCCCAAGAATATACAAAAGAGTATATGTAAATATTGTGTACACTTTCTTGTTTCAATACATTTTGTTCTAAGTACATTTTGTGTTGTATTATTATTCCATGCATTAGTCAAGTTTCAACACTTTCATTTGGTTTAATGGTGACTTCTTCAGATAATAATTCAATGCCACCACTAAGCAACTTCCTCTCTCTCTCTCTCTCTCTCTCTCTCTCTCTCTCTCTCTCTCTCTCTCTCTCTCCGTAGTCAATAGAGCAGACTCGAAGCGTATTCCGATACCATTTCACTTTCTCCACAAAATAGACAATCTGGTTTTCCAGCAGCTTCAAATTATCCATGAAGAGAGTTTGACCATTCTTACCAAGCTGTTAATCCATCTTTCTACGAAGAAATAGAAGTATCTATTAGCGCAATAACAAATAACACCGGTGACACTGAGTCACCTTAAAAATACCTCTGTTCATAACCACGTCGTGAATGCATTCATTATTCTATAATAATAATAATAATAATAATCTGCATGATAGAGTGAACCAATATATTCACTGGGAATAATGCTACATTTACAGGAGGAAACTGCAAGAAACTTGTATGAACATCACCCAGACCGGGTAACAGAGATAAGACCTATGATAATTTTATGGAACATTAGCATTCACATAGGAAGAACAATCAAAGCTAATCGCCTAGACATCGTGTCGCCTTGCGTATTAAGATAAAATATATCCAGAAGCAGGGTCTCTGATTGGCAGGTTTTGAGGAGCGTGGAACCACCACTTAATTTCTGTTGTACTCAGGTCCACCCTTTATTATGTTAGGGTCTCCGCTATGGGCAAATAGTTAACCCCCAAACATGCGTAAAAAAAAAACAAAAAAAGAAAACACTATGAATGTAAATGTATAGAGTTTTATAGCAAAAATACCAGCAATAAATTTTTGGAAAATAATTACCAGAAATTCACAAATGAACTCTTTCCCTAGATTCTTCTTTGATTTTTTGTAAAAGAAATATTACCAGCAATTCATTTTTTTAAAAGAAAATATTACCATCAATATATATTTTTAAAACAATATTACCAGCCATATATCTGACACTCAAGAAAAGTCTTTTTTACAAAAATACGTCAATGAAACCGGATCTATAAATTGATTTCCTACAAAGATTATATATTCTGTTCTTACACACCTATAAAATTTTATTGGCATTAAATAACACCTATTCTAACAATCTTATAAGCATTGAGGTTGATATGACTTAAAACAAAATAAACCAATCTAACTAGCACGAACAAAGACCACAGAAACAGAATGCACTTATTGACATGACAGTTCATGAGTTTGTAATATATCTTTGCAGGTCTTTAAAGAACTATCAAAATACAAGGATCTTCAAGTGGAAATCTAAATAGTGTGACATATAAGGACATCAGTGATTCCAGTTTTAGTCGGAGCACTCTGATTGCTTACAAAAGGTTTCGACAAGCCAATTGAATGGATTCCATACCTTATAGAAATACAAAAAATGTACTCAAACGAACAGCTCACGCATTACGAAGAACGTTACTTTTGTAAAATTCTGTGTGATCTTAGGTGCTTTGTTTGTTTTTTTTGTTTTTTTTGTTTTTTTTTCTTGTTTTTTTGCTCATTTACGAAAAGGATCTTTTTAAAATATCATGAACCATTACTGAATTTAGGACTCTGGTTGGGATCCGGAAGAAAATGTATATAAAATAGAATTCAAGACGAATAATAATAATAATAATAATAATAATAATAATAATAATAATTATTATTATTATTATTATTATTATTATTATTATTATTAGTCATGTTCTTATCAGTATTATTCAGTTGCAAATATTCTTCCATATGTCATGATGGTGGATAAAAATATTGTAATTCTAGCTATTTTGAGGCAATGTTTTAATCTAAGTGTCAAAGGTAACACCGAATTTGTAAAGTTGAAGGAAAAATATATGGCTCTACTGCCCAAAACTGGTTTAAATAAAGTTAAATATTGAAAAATAAAATGTTGAGGAGAAACACGCAAACAGCAACTTCACAATCCTTCAAAGTTCTAACATCATCGCAAATTAAATATTTATATTATAACTGCAACAACGTAGAGGTTAACTCGAGATAATTTCCCTATGATTAAGCAAGGAAAAGACATTTGATATACCCTGGGTTGCTACAAGATATGGCCAACCACTATTGCGAACAAATTGAGCCACCGAGTGAGTTGGTTGAACATTGTGTTGGGGATATTGTTTTTAGTTACTTTTACGCAATGTGTACAATTGTATGGCACCGAATGACAATCGATCAGGCTACACCCGTTACATTGTCTGTAAGAAAAAACAGCTAAGCATTGTTCTCCAGGAGGTGTCCTTCACCAGATGCTTTTTACTGAGCTTACTTTCTTCTGGCATCAGTCTCGAAAATTGACCCACCCACTGAAGTTCGAACACAAACGAATTGCTGTAAATTGCAATTACTTTAAATATCGCACTAAGTTAACCACACCACTTAATATTTATTATTTTTAGGTTGGTATGCAGATATTGAGACAACCAGTGTGAATCGATTTGATTTCAGTAGCTATGATCTAACCTTCCAGTTATTACTTCCAGATAGATTTATTATTACTTTTTATACGTATTTGCACTTATTATAAGGTCACCAATGTCTTATTTGAAGATAGATCACTACAAAAGTAATGCTCTATGAAGAAGAATAAATATTGATCCGATTCGATGAAAGCTCTCAACATTACTAGATTTACATTATTTATCGATGTTTCCGTTATTGATAATTGCAGACTATAGGTGTATTGTTTTTTTCTTAATACGTAATAGTACAAAATTATCAGTGAGCTGTAACAGTTTCATACATAACATTTGTAATTGAAAACAAAGTACAGTTAACACTTCATAAAATCAAGGATCAATATGAGACTATATTCAGATTATAAAAAGGACAGCTCTTCAAAATGATTAAAAGTCTATATTTCTCGATTCTGATAACAGTTTTGGCTTCAAAGACATCCTTCTGCTAGACTGACTATCAAACAAGTGTGTCCAGTCTTAGGAGATGAATTTAAGTGCAATAGTCTGAAGAGAACACAATAAACATAGTCGGGATTTGAGCTCAGCACGCTGTTTCCAATTTTCGTACACCGAACACATCCATTCCTGATTATAACACCTACATTAACTGCATAAAATACATTGTCTACTGTTTTGGCATTCAGTTTCATATCAGGCCGTAAAAGGATGGCAAATGCAGAGTTAATATAAAATGACACAACTCGGGAGCAGAGATCAGGAGCGACACCCGTTGTAAGTGGTGACCCTAAATGTGAATGTTTGTTTGCATTGCATGCATGACTGATTTTGTTTTTACGGCTTACGAACCATTATATCTGGAAGTAATGCTGCACTAGATATTTGCGTGTTTGCTAAAAACATCTTAGCATAGATAGATATATAAAGAAGCACTACAGATAGAAGCAGCCGTCACTCATTTACCTTAGGCGGAGAATGCATCTTCCAGGGATCCGATTAGGGACGACGGGCGGACTGTAGGTAATTGACTAAATCGGAAGTTGAATAAAATGTTTTGTTAATAGGTTCAAGTCTTGTGTTATTTAGTCGGGGCAACCCCTTTATTACAAAGACATTTCTATAGTACAATCATTTACAATGAATTTTATGTAAAATTCTTTTTTGCGGTCTTCCTTCAGCAAAACTTTTACATATGCATTAATCGTTATAAGACTGCGTGAAAATATCAAAGCATTTAAGTTTTAAATATGTAGCTACTATTCTGCCGTTAAATACTTCCTATTCTTTCCCTTCCTGATAGAGTGACAAAATCGTCAATGCGGCCTTGTGAGCGATGAATTATTTATCACCTCACAGCCCATTTCTAATAGACGAACGCCAGTTCTGCAAAAAATGTTTAAGTCGGCCATTTTTGTTTGGTAAGACTTGATTATTCTACTTGTGTCATTATTTTATTTTCCTTTTTTAGCATCTTTTCTTTGTTTTATTTTTCCATTCTAATTTTAAAAGAGAAAAAAGGAAAAGGAGAAACCTTTTTACGTTGTTTTGTTTTGTTGCTTGAGTAAATTTATTCTTGCTTTCGTTTTTGCATTGTAAAATTTTGTTTTTCTTCTCTTAGTAGAAATACTTTGTTTTAATTTGTGTATTTTTATGCAACCTTTTATCTTTCACGTCAAACCGTTTTCGTTACAACGATTCTGTCTGTATTTTGTTTAATTCTTGCGTTTATCTTGTTAAATTTGTGTCGCGCATTTTGTTTAATTTTCCCCCTCTCTTTGAAGAGGCTATTTTGTGTTTGTTTTTATTACGTTGATTTATTTATTTCAGTAGATTTATTTTTCTATCGATCTGAAGAGAGACGGTTCAGTCAGGCTATCTTTCCCAACACCACTTCTACTGCGGCTTAAAAAAAGGTTGAAAAAAGAATCGTGTCGGTCCATGTGATGGACAAGCGTTTGCGCAAAATCTATCGCTCCACCAAAGATACCATTATCAAATCCTTAACATATTGGGGATAAAACCTCAATTAAGACACTTCCAGTCGTGATTTAATCACTGAAAAACTCATTTTAAGATCGGAATATAAGGGCAGGCGTCTCAGTATATGAGGTTCCAACTCAGATCATAGAATAGCAATCAGCCGCTTATCTGGCTCAGTTTGGGCGGATACTCAGTGTTTTTTTCCGACGACCTGAACTGGGGAAAGGGGCTTCGAGACCGTGTCAGATCGTAAAGCCTTCATCACCGTCCCCAACTGTCTGGTTGTAGCGGATCAGAAAATATAATTGTGATAGGCCGTAGCCCAACATGTTGGAAGTGTAGAGAGCCCTGTCACCTCTCCTCTTCTTGCCAAGAGAAGAAGGCCCCGCCAACCCAAATCACCCTTTTGGTCTAGTCTGCTCTTTCCGTCTCACCTGTAATGGACATGTCAGCGACCATAACCAGTGTGAGAAAAAAAAACCCGGTTAGGTCCTCATTCCCTGAAAAGCCTTTGTCTGACGCTTGTGCGGTTGCAGTCAAGGATAAGAGGGAATGGCGGGTCGTTGGTAGGACCAAGAGGAATGGCCCAGAAGTAAAGAAACAAACAGCTCCACTCATGTCTACTAATTCCAAGGGTGATTCCGCGGCCACCTATGCCTAACATATCAAAAACAAAAAAGCTTCGAAAAGGCTGAAAAA